CAGCGCTAAGGTCAAGGCAGGAGAAAGATTCATAGACTGTGTACAGGAAAATTTTCTTGAGCAGTATGTCTCCAGTCCTACGAGGAAGGAAGCATTGCTGGGGAATGAAATAGGTCAGGTTGAACAGGTTTCGGTAGGGGAGCATCTAGATAACAGTGATCATAATATTATTAGATTTAGATTACTCATGAACAGGGACAAAGTACAGTCAAGGATGAAAATGCTTGACTGGAAAAGGACTAATTTTGATGGGCTAAAAAGGGACCTAGAGTTGGTGGACTGGCAAGTGAGACTAGCAGGTAAAACGACTCATGAGCAATGGGAGATCTTCAAAGATATGATAGCTCAAGGTCAAAATAGATATATTCCCACAAAAGGGAAATGTACGGCAACCAAGCCAGCCTGGGTGACCAGGGATATTCTGTCTAGGATGAAAAAGAAGAGACGGCGTACGAAAATTGGAAGACGCAAGATACTGAGGATAGCAAAACGCATTATAGAGAATGCAGGAGTGATCTTAAGTGATAAGACAGGCTAAAAGATCGCATAAGAAGAGGTTAGCGGGTAACATAAAGGGGAATCCTAAAATATTTTACAAGCACATAAAGGAAAAAAGGTTAGTTAAAGGTAGGGTGGGGCCAATCAAAGACAATGACGGCAATCTTGTTGTGCAGGCAGAGGGCATGGCTGAACGAGTACTTTGCATCTGTCTTCACAACGGAAATGGATGCACCAAATGCCGCAGTATTGGATGAGAGGGTAGAGGAAATAGATCAAATTACTATAGACAGAAAGGAAGTTCTGAAAAGATTGACTGGGCTCAAAATTGATAAGTCACCAGGACCAGATGGGTTTCACCCAAGGTTGCTATGGGAGATATGGGTTCAAATAGCGGAGGCTTTGGCCATTATATTTCAATCTTCATTGGACACAGGAGTGGTGCCAAGAGACTGGAGAGTGGCTAATGTTACCCCCTCTACAAAAAGGGGCAGAAAGACAAACACGGAAATTACAGGCCAGTCAGCCTAACTTCGGTAATAGGAAAACTACTGGAGACCATAATCCGGGACAGAATAAATCTCTACTTAGAGGAACATGAGGTAATTAGAGACAGCCAACATGGATTTGTTAAAGGCAAATCTTGCCTTTAGCAAATCTGATAAATTTTTTGAAGAGGTGACTGCAAGGGTTGATGAGGGAAATGCGGTGGATGTTATTTACATGGATTTCAAAAAGGCTTTTGACACAGTACTGCATAAGAGATTATTACAACAACAAAATTCCATTTATAGAGCACCTTTCACGTCGGGAGGACGTCCCAAGGCGCTGTACAGTTGGGTCAGGACCTGAGCATTGGGGGGAAATGGTCAGGGTGAGGGAAGGGAGGGAGCGAGGAGGGGGTAGAGAGTCGAGAGGGGAGCTGAAGGCAAAAGGTCTTGAGACCGGCCTTGAAGGAGGAAAGGGAGGAGGCGGCGAAGGCACTGGGGGATAGAGTTCCAGAGCCTCGGGGCTGAGAGGCTGAAGGCCCGGCCACCGATGGTAGGGTTGTTGGTGCAGGGGATGTGGAGCAGACCGGAGCCAGAGGAACGGAGGGTACAGGTAGGTAGGGGGATAGTAGGTCAGAGAGGTAGGAGGGAGCAAAGCCGTGAATGGCCTTGTAGGTGAAGATGAGGATCTTGAATTCGATTAATACAAAAATTAGAGGCCCACGGTATTAAGGGGACAGTGGCAGATTAAGAACTGGCTGAGTGACAGAAAGCAGAGGGTGGTGGTTATTGGGAGTTGCCCAAAATGGAAGGAGATGTGCAGCGGTGTCCCCCAGGGATCGGTATTGGGGCCACTGCTCTTTCTAATCTATATTAATGATCTGGACTTGGGCATAGAGAGCACTATTTCCAAGTTTGCAGATGATACAAAGTTAGGTAGGGCAGTGAATAGTGAGGAGGACTGTAACCACACAGAAGATGGAGTGGGCTGACATGTGGCAGATGGATTTCAATGTGAATAAGTGTGAGGTGATACACTTAGGTAGGAAAAATGATAGGAGGCAATATAGACTTGGTAGCTCAATCTTAAGGGGGATGAACGTAGAGAGATCTGGGTGTTCAAGTAAGCGAATCATTAAAGGCAGGGGGGCTGGTGGATAAGGCAGTAAAAAAGGCATTTGGTGTACTGAGCTTCATTAGTAGGGGCATAGAGTATAAGAGTGGGGAGGTTATGGCTAATCGATACAAAACACTGGTTAGGCCTCAGCTGGAGTACTGCGCCCAGTTCTGGGCACCTTACTTCAGGAAAGACATTAAGCACTGAAAAGGGTGCAGAGGAGATTCACGAGAATGATACTAGGAATGGGGAACCTTAGCTATGAGGACAGGCTGGAGAAGTTAGGACTTTTCCCATTAGAGCAGAGAAGGTTACGCGGGGACCTGATAGAGGTCTTCAAGATCATGAAAGGTTTCGACAGGCTCGATAAGGCAAAGCTGTTTCCACTGGTAGGTGTGTCTGTGACCCGTGGTCACAGTCTTAAGATATCTGCCAAAAGAAGCAGAGGGGAGGTTAGAAGAAATTTTTTCACTCAGCGAGTTGTTGGAATTTGGAATGATCTGCCTGAAAGGGTAGTGAAGTCCGATTCGATAACAGCTTTTAAGAGAGAACTGGATAGGTATCTGGGGAGGACGGGTTTGCAGGGTTATGGGGAGAAAGCTGGTGAATGGGGTTAGTGAAAGTGACTTGCTCTGTCAAAGAGCCGGCACAGACTCGATGGGCCGAATGGCCTCCTTCTGTGCCGTAACAGATCCTCATCCTCACCTACAAGGCCATTCACGGCCTTGCTCCCTCCTACCTCTCCAACCT